AAAAAAAAAAAAAGTGGTATAGTTAGTTGTTAGTGGGAGTTTGAGTTTGTATTAAAATAATATTTAAAATAAAATAATTAAAATTGGTTTGATATAAAAATAGGAGAGAGATAAAAAGTGATGGTTAGAACCTCTCCAGCCCGACAATACTCTATAGCAAAACGCTGGAGTTGTGTGAAATTTTTGCTCCAACGCTGCGCTCAAAACTTGCACTACATCAGATATAGAAACAGTGTTGCGCCAATTGTAGCGCAACATTGTAGCGAGCGCCACATTTTTTCTTTTTGTGTATTAATAAATGTATTTTTATGCTAAATAACTTTGTGCAATGATTTTTATTGCTAAATAATTTTGTGCTTTTATTTATTGATGTATTATAATTTTATTTTTTAAATTTTTAATATTAAAATGGTATCATATGAATAAAAAATTTAACACATTCAAATAAGTAGTAAAAATTTATTTAAAATAAATTAAATAAAATATATTTTTATTAAATATACATATATATAGTAACGGATCTAGAAATTTCACTCAGGGGGGTCCGATTTTAAATATTAAGTCAAAACACTCATTTCATATACAAATTATTTACTATAAATATAAATATCAATATGATTACTATTATTTTTTTAAATATTTACAATCCGTATCACCCTTAAACTTAAAAAAAAAAACGAAATTTCATGTATTTATAATTTAAATGCAATATCTATAATTTATGAAAAATAAGTTTTTTCGGTTGAAAAATTAATTTAAATTTTACTTTTGCAGCACATTGCATAATGTTTTTGTAGATGAGAGCTTATCAAATGAACATTTTTTAAGAAAAAAAATAGTTAAAAATATGTAATTACACAACAAAAGGTAAACAATCAATAATAACAAATGTAACAATCCAACTAAAGACTCGATTTAATAAATCACTAGATTGATTTACAATTAAGAGACCGGAATAGTAAATCATTATAAATATTTTTAAAGCTTATATGAACTTGTAAAATATAAATATTGTTAGTATATATTTAAATAACAATAGCATAGAAAATAAATTTTAATTATTAATATATTCTATATAATTTTTGCATTTTTATACATATTTATTTATTTTTTTATACATATATATTGATTTTCTTTATATATATATATATATACTTCTTAAAAAATGAGGGGGGTCCATGGCCCCCCTGGGCCTCATTTGGCTCCGTGCCTGCATATATACAATTTATTTGAAATAAAAATGAATAAAAAATAATATATTTGATGTAGAGTAAAATGTAGAAATAAGGACTAGAGATGAATGTTCAACTCTACTCTAGAGTAGAGTAAACTCCGCGCTAGAGTAGAGATAAGGGCTGGAGATGACCTTAGTTAAAATTATGTGAGTGAATGAATAGTGAATTAAAATTGATATGACGTGTAAAAATGATTGATTGTTATTATTTAATGATTGATTGTTATTATTTAATTATATTGATAACATTGAGGATAGTGTGATTGAGTTAAAGCTGAGTTAAATTTTGAATATGAATTAATTTGGTTTGAGATTTTTTTTACAAACACACCCTTAAACTTCACAAATCATATCATATATATACAGTAGTACAATACCGTGTATTACGCGGATGCTAGTTAAATATTTTATTCTTATATATTAAAATTAATGAGAAAATATTGTTTTTTTTTTATATTGAGAAAATGTTTGTTAAAATTTATATATGTTTTACAAAAAATATATAATATTATATATTTTAAAATGGCACCGGTTATTTGTGCGACTTATTTGTGTTATGTTATTATAATTTTTCGAGTTTATATCATATAACTACTTTAAACATAAATATATTAATTGATAATAAATTTTATTTTTATATTTAATATTAATAAATAATTTTATTGTTATTATAAATATAAATATAGTTTATTTGTTTTATACATACAATATGGATGTGAAATCGAAACTCATCAAGAAAAAAATTAAAAAAAATAAAATCGAAACTCATCAAGACATGATTAATTTGATATATTATATATTCAAAATGGATAAGAAAATACAAAAGTTATTAAATTTTAAAATACATTTACAATTAAATAGTTATAATAGGAAATGATATTAATATATGTATA